ACTTATACCCGTTTAATGCAATCCAATAAAGAGTAAGTGGAATACATTTGCCTAAAAATATCAATCACTTTTATCAATCTTCTATGCAACATCAAAGTAACCAATGTAGTTTCATATTAAAATCAGTCCTGAAATCATCTTAATAATTTTCTAAAAAATTGTTTGAATGCCAAATATGTCAATTAAATAATATTGTTAAATCAAGTTCCTTCTGCAGTGAAATCAACATGCCTTGTTACATACAGCAAAATCCTGGGTATGCATTGCCAGGAAAAATAAATTATGTCCTATGTGACTCATTCTCCAATACACATATTTATCATTGCAGGCTTAAAGCAAATCTCATCTCCTTACCCTAGGGCAATGTAATGAGTTGCATTCTCTAAAATCTTGTAGCACTAATGCCACAATTCTGAACTATACTTCTTAAATCATGGTTGTATGTGCTTTTCCTATCATGCTTTTCAAAATACCCCCCCCAAGAGAAGAAAGGTAGTTTCTACATGTGATCTTAATAGTTATGTACCTATAAAATTAGCTTTTAGTTCTTTCCAAAGTAGAAGGGGACTAAGTTGAATTGCAGATGTTCAGAATTTTGGATGTGAAATCACTTCATTTTATCTAGTTCCAGAGATAAAATTGTGTTAGAACTCAGCAAGGGGCAGGGAGCAAAGGAAATATATTTCTTTTTAACCAACTCCTTCCTGGCAGACATCTAAGATGCTTTTCTCTTTTTGTTACAAACAAATTTCAAACCCATCCACCAAAGGCTGGAAGGGTGGGCGAGAGGCCAATGGGGGGGAAATACAACAATGCAATTGGGAAAAACACATATTTTCTATTTTGTTATGAAGGACAAATTATAATCATTCTCCTTTCTGACCTATAGTTAGACCTATTGCATTTAGAGTCCTAGTGTCTATTTTTGAAAAGTGACCATGCTGAACGTGGGTGCTACATAGTCTTCCGTAGCTCTCACACTGCAAGTCTTGGACATCCCTTTCTTTTCCTGGTTTTCCCACACTTTCTGCCGCTCATTGTATGCCTACTGCTTTTTTTATCTGCCTATTCAGCTCAAATTAGTCACGAGCGGCCCCCAGCTTAGAGAGGAAAAATAAATTAGGTAGTGTTTTAAACAGAGTTTGATTAGCTTGATCCCCTGCTTTTTTTCTGCTAAAGAATGAAGTAACCCTCACCTTTTACTAGATAGCATTTTAAAATATTTTCCCCAATGCAGAAGTAGTACAGATGGCAAGAAAGACCTCTGAAAGATAATTCCTTTTTGAATGATAATTAACAGGATCCGAACAGACCAAGTACATAGACCAGGAGTTTTTTATATTAGCACTACTGCCAAAATAGGTAATTTCATTAAGCAACACACCTAAAAACATTTTATTTTAAGCCCAGGAATGCAGTCATAAGATGAAAATTTACTTATAATAAGAGTACAAATATCCAACCATAACAAATACTTGACCATACATAGTTCTGAATCTAGCCATGTAGATTTCTCCTTACCAAGAAGCTTGCCATGAATTGCAAAAGCATTCTGATTTGATAAAGTCTGCATGTTATCTTTTCAGATACCCCTGTCACTGACTCCTATTCTCTTCATTAAAAATGAGATAATGTGTATCCATAATCTTTTGCTTCGATATGATGGACAGAAGGGAAAGAATAAAAATTATACTGTATATGAATACATTTAATAAATAAATAAAAATATCCTGTATTAGAAAAGGAAAGCAAAAATTCTTCTACTGACTTCACAATATTAAATAGTATTAATTAAATCTGGGTAAAAAGAAATGTATATAAAAGCAGTTAGTAAAAGAGATCATGTCACCATAAATGAATTTATTCTGCTAGCATCCAAGAAATTGACTGCTTGTGTCCAGTATTGGATGACTGCAGGAAAGGAGTGTTTAATTTGATTTTTTCTCAATCTGTCCAAATCAGGATTTATATTTTCTAATCTGAAAATCCATCAATGAACCACAAAGACTAAATCAATGCTTTGCTTGCAGTCCATTAAAGCTAAAGTAACACTATTCCAAATACAAACCATTTCAAGAAACCAATGGCTAGGAAGTAGGAAAAACTAGAACAGTAATCACCCTTTATCAAGAATGTGTTGTTCTCCCAGTAATACCTGCTTTTCATCTAACTACCTCAGCGGTTAACATGTAAAATGAATATAACCCAGTCTTAAAGAATTCATACTTTGAGTGGCAATTTTGATGCACATTATGGTTGTCAACGGAACCAGAACACACCCCTTCTGAATTAATTGACCAGAAAAGTGGGGGGGGGGGAGAGTGCAGTTGCTTTGAACTCCAGTTTTTACAGGCAAAGTTGAAAAAAATTGAGGAAGATAAATGTAATGTTGGAGTTTATTTTTCAACAAGTAATATAGAAGTCAGTTCATCCTAAAATAATTATGCATTATTGAATATAAAGGTGAAGTTATCCTTGATTCAAAGCTGATTCTGATAACCACATTCACTATTGTATTTATATCCAACCTTTATTTTGCATAATCAATCCATGCACATCAAGTACCTTCCTATTTTTCATTCAGTACAGAGATGTACTGAGAGGTACTGACACACAGCCAGCTTTTATATCTAAGGAAGGGCTGGAACTCCTGGTCTCCTGCTTTCTAGTCCAGCATCTCAAACACCACACCAAATTGGTTGACTAATATGCTTGCAGTTTTCTTATCAGTATAATGGAAATAGCCTGCTACTGCCTTCTTCCACAATACTTTTTCAACTTTTAGTTTAATCTGTAGCCCTGAAATTCCCAGATGGTCTTTCATTTTGAACCAAACACACTTAGGTTCTAGGATCAGTCAAGGTCAGATACAAAACAAAGCAAAAGATCCAAAGATCCATACAGCAAAATGCTTCCCTATGTTCTAATCCATTTCTTTTAAAATTACTGTTTTTGATCAAGGTACCCAATCTTTCAATGCAGGTTGACTTCCTCATACCACTGAACACTTTAAGAGTCACACTTTCTTTGGTGACAAAATCTGCTCCATAATTAGAAGAAAAACTATGCAATTATAAAGCCTGGTTTTTAAAAACAGGAATATAGGAATATTCTGATCCAACAAAAACAGGTTTTCTCTTGATAAGAACTAGACACAACCACTGTGTGCATCATTTATAGCTCTGTTATATATGGCAGCAAGTATAAACAACAACAACAAAGCAAATTCTGATGCATCAAAGAAGCAGGGAATGTATTTCCTTAAGCAGTTTTATTATGAAACCAAAAATGAAGTGTTGTACTGGTTTCAGTACAACCTACAAAACATTTCAAAGGAAGTAACCCAATTGTAAAAAAGCAATTAATAAAATATACATGTTATAAAATTAAAACACAAAAAAAAATTAAACAAAACTTTAGGATATATAACAAACAGCTACTACTACATAGCAAATAAATCATTGGACTGTTGCTCAAAGAAGGCTTAAATAATGAAAAACATAAGCATACTGTCAAACAGACTAATTTCAGAATACAAATGAAGCATGAATGCAGGATCGTATATATATATATATATATATATATATATATATATATA